AATTGGAGCTATTCTGAAGACTGAAACCAGGTAGACTAAGTTCAAGGTTAGCCTGGGCTACATGGCAATGTCGAGATCAGCCTAGACAACTTATGAAACCCCTTAGCAAAATACGAAGTTTACAAGTGGGGAAAAAGGCTGGGGACATGTTGCTGTGGAGCACTTGCCTAGCATGCGCAAGGCCCCGCCCCTAGTACCAGAAAAACAACATTATATACAAGGAACTTTAAAAAACATTTATTTACCCCTAGAAGCCAGACTAGCAAGCAAAAACCCTAGTACCAGGTATAAGCAACTTCCTTTGAAGTTGCTGGCCACAAGTCTAAAAAATAATGGAAGCCTTTGACTGCCTCCCAAAAATCGAAGGTAAGACCCTACTGCTGAAGAGTTGGAGGAAATGGGATGGAAATGACCTGGAAGTCTCCCCAAGGACTAGCTCTCACAGTACCTGAAGGAGTAATGCAAGCTGTCAAGAGAGAAAAGCAATCCATATAACTCCTGTGAAACACAAACATGACCAAATGTCAAGCTATCACTAAAGATGCAATAGTGACAATTACCTCGGTACCAACAGCTGTCTAATTGGACTATGGCCCATTCAACAGGAGGGAATCCATGTTTGGTGATATAATCCTAGCTAACGAGCTGTGCCTGGTGAAGCCATGGAACCTAGAGGAGAACCGACTACACAGCGTAAGTTCTAACTACACTCTCAACACTTGTCCTTACTCTCAGAGGGAAGTGCAGCTCTTCTTTTTTTTCCCAGCAAACAGGGACCACTGTAGAAAGCCACAAAAACAGCTCAAAATGCAGAGAACAACAGACTGCAGGTGCCCAGACCCAACTGATAGGTCTACCACACAATCTCTACACCTAAGGCTCAAGAACATTTTGGAAAAGGAAGGAATTCTAAGAGCCAAAGGACCATGATGTCAGCTGTGAGACAGTGTCCTTTATGTGACAGGAAAGCTGCACCATGAACACTCAACAATGGCTGCCTAAACAAGACCTGAAAAATATCACTACCAACTGACATGCCAACATTGGTTGAGGAGAAGTTCCAAAGCCCCACATATATGAAGTAATAAAGGAAATTAATGGTTGGTAAGAAAGTCAGAATCAGTCTTCTCTAGAGATGAGCCCCCTGACATGTTACTCAACTCCAAGTGGTCAGCTCTAAACACATAAAGATATGAGCACTAGTGTAAACGAACTCACCAGATTATACTTACAAATCTGTACATACATACAATGTAACAGTAATAAGAGACTATGTACTTGAGAATGAGGTTTGTGCTTGGAAGGAGTTGAGGGGAGTAAAGGAAGAGGAAGGTTTTACAAATACAGTACTCATATACGAAATTCTCAACAAAAAAGAAACAGATTAAATAAATTATTACACTTTTTAAAAAGTGCATTCCACTGATCATCTGAACTGAAAGCCCACTAACATTTAAAATGTCTGTGTGGTTTTGGAGGCAAGGTGTCATGACTCCATTTGTAACCAGCAACCGTAAGCCGCTGATCTTCCTCCTTTTACCACGGCTGGTCTCACTTTTTTAAAGAAGCTATTAAGTTTCAGGTGCCAGATTTTCCAATGTAGATCCTGTCACACAGGCTCTTTCATTTGACATTCCTAACAATGGTTCCCAGCCAACAGAGACGCACAAATGGTAGAATAAACAGTTCAATAGTCTCCACATCAACTTAATCTTTCTGATTCTGTATTCAGCATAAAAAGGGGGAGGATTTTTGCTACCTTGATACTGGGGGGGGGGGGGCTTCTGTTACTGCTATTGGATTTTTGTTGTTTTATTGCTAGTTATTTTCCACAAACTTCTGCAATCAACCACTATAGAATGCAATCAAATTTCAATCAATAAAGTTATATAAAACAGGGCATGTTGGCCTTCACCCTAAGAGGCTGAAGCAAAAGATTTGCAAGTTGGAGGCCAGCCTGAACTACTAAGTTCCAGACCAGTTTAAGATTGAGTGAAACCCCCATCTCAAGCCCCTTTCCCCTCCCTCCCTTTAAAAAAATCAATCATTTAAGACTTGGTGGGGCTTCAGTGATGAAGCACATTTGGTGCTCTTCAGGAGAGCCTGAGTTCAATTCCCAGCTCTCACATGGTGGTTCACAACCATCTTAGCTCCAGTTCCAGGAAATACAATGCCCTCTTTTGCTCTTGATAGACATCAGGCACACAAGTGGTGTACATATATGCAGGCAAAACACTCAACACGTAAAATATGAATAAATATAACATAAAAAATATGTAATGGTCAAATGGCAAAATTTTAGTACTCCATGATAATTTGTCACCAACTTCATTTAATGAAATTAACATCCTCGGGTTTGAACCTAAAACATTCAACCCACCCTGCCTCCCACATTTTATTTTTAAAAAGAGGGGAGGGGTTCTCTTTATTCATTCTGCTCTAGCCCCAAAGACTCCAAGTAACATTATCTTGTAAAGAGCTCACCAGAACATGTATGTCTGGCTTCATCTGGCACTACTGCCCTTAAGCTGTCCGTGAAGCTGTCTTCTGGCTGAAAGCACAGCTCTTACTACTCACTTGTCGCTTAACACATGCCTGGTGGGAGTTAGCATCTCATGTTAGTGGATGTTGTCACAAAAGCTAAAAACATCACATCAACAAACATTTACTGAAAGCAGCGTGCCAGGCACTGCCTACTACAGTGCATAAAGGCCTGTTTCAAAGCATCCAGAAAGGAAAATTAGATCAAGTCCAGCAGCAGGATGTACATAGCAATCAGTCATCACTAAGTAAAAACCTACGTTTGAGGTCAACCATGGTGGCTCACTTTGCAATTCAAGCACTTGAGAAGCTTATGCAGGTTAGTCTGAGGCCAGCCCAGGGTACAAAATGAGACCTTATCTCAAAAAGCTGTAAACCATAAATATCTTGGTAAGATTTAGGCAGGTTGGTTTTTGTTTTGCTTTTTGGGAAAAGTACCCCCCCCCTTTTTTTTTCATGTCCAGGCAAGCATGGTGGCACATGCCTATAATCCCAACACTACGGAGAGCTGAGGTAGAAGGATCCCAAATTGCAGCCCAACCTAAACTACACAGCTAATTCTAGGTGTAGGGGTGGGTGCTGGACCCCAGGAAGAGGAACACAAAATGAGCATCTAAAAAAGGCTCCTATCTTAGCTGGGCGGTGGTGGCGCACGCCTTTTAATCCCAACACTTGGGAGGCAGAGGCAGACTGCCTCTCCTCTCCAGTGAACCACCACATCAAACTGAGAACCTACAGTTTAGACTAGACACAGGCCAAAAAGTGTGTGCACAGTACTCGGAAGACTGAAGAATTTTTTAGGATAACCTGGGATGCACAGTAAGACCCTGTCTCAGTCAAACACCAAGTGAACAGCAATAACAACATCAACATGGACTTTTTCTAAACACCATGTTTGGGGCACTAGTTTCCTCATACAGCTGAGTCTTGTCACATAAATGATACTCTCCTCTTAAACAGTCCCCCAAAATCTGGCTCTCTTCAGGAAGATGTATGTCATCTAGTAAGGCGAGCTTCTGGCTTGCTGTACATTTTCATACAATGGAACCTTGAAGGACATCTTATTTTACAGATTAGCTGGTTCTAACTTCTAGGTTGAGAATAATGCAAGAACCAATAGCACTGAATTTTGTTTATGTTTTTTAATCTTTTTGGTAAGAGTAAAGCTTAAAACAGTTTTTCAAGCCCAGGCATGGTGGAACAAGCCTATTAATACCTGTTAGGGATGCTGGGAGAGAAAGATCCCAAGTTTGAGGCCCTAAGATACAGAGTCTGTTCAAAGCCCACAAACAGGCTCATATTGTAAAGGAACACTCTTCAGAAGTAAGCATGGAAGCATCGATCTATGTATCAACAGCTCAGCATAAGCACCTTGCCACTGCGAGGCAGCCTCAAAGATTTTATTTCAATTTTTAGCTAGCTAGTTTGTTGACCTGAATCTTCAAGCCCTGATGTCTTCTTTACTTGAATAAATTCTTAGCCATTGATGGAAAATGCTAAGGTGACTTATATGAAAGACCTGAAGCCTTTCTGTACTTACTACGTCTACAATAAATGGCACTGTTTTAAAAGCCTCCCCCTTCAAATGATGGCCAAAGGAATTTGCATCCCTTAAGAAAAATTTATAGTCTACGGTCATTATGAAACAATGTGGGGGCGGGCGCGCGCAGAGAGGTGGTGAACACGCAACCGTGTTGAGTGACTAGCCATTTCAGAGTGCTCAATTAGAGAACAGCCCTCTACTACCCAGGCTGTGAAACAAATCCGACACAGACCTTCATCTACTGCTTTTAAAGGCTGCGGCCGGGCAAAGCCAACCGCTCAAAACGCCGTTCTTGTAACAGGCCCCACTTCTCCATCTCGCCCTGCAGGGCTTCGGGGGCCCCAGAAAAAAGGCGAGGGACAAACCGCCTCCAAACGTCTTTAGGGGAGACTTGCAATTGATGTGAGCTTTCCAGGAAGTACCGCGCACCACAAAACTGGCTCGTGGGCCATTCCGCGGGCAGATCCAAACCCTGCCAGGCTCGCAGCCCATGAGGGGAGCCACGCGCCCGCCTCACGAGGAGAACTGAGGCCAGGCTGCCTGCAGAGACAGACGAGGGAAACGTAGAGCGGCACCCGCCCGCCCACTCCGCGAGAAAGGCGGGGTCCCAGCGAGCGGACGCTGGGAAACAATGGCGCGAGCGTGACGTGGGCTGGGGGCGTCGCCGCCGCGCGAGGAAGGGGCTGCGGCGGGACGGGGGCGCCCGGGCCGGATCACGCGCCACCCCGGGGAGCTGAGGCCACGGGCGCGCGGGCGGATCCGGGCCGGGATAGAGTGCCCTGAGGAAAGGGACGCCCGGGCGGGCGGCGGGGGCCGCGGGGTCGCGCGCTCGGTCGCGCATCCTCCCCAGCCTGCTCTCTCGCCGCCCGCCCGCTCCAAGCCCCCTCCCGCCCGCCGCGGGGGCCGCCGTACTCACCGGCCCACCGCACGGCAGCAATCCTAGCGCGCAACTGCCGCAGCCGCCTCGGCGCGCGCCCTCCCCGCCCCCGCCGCCCCGGCACCGCCCCCAGCTCGCGCCCCGCCAGGGACCGGCGCTCTGTTCCTTACCCGGTCTCCGCCGCAGAATCTGGCCGCGGGCAAGCTCCCTGGCGGATTGACCGGCCTCAGCCCCTACCGGGCTCGGGGAACTTCCAACCACAGAATTCCCGGGGATGCAAAGCTGCGAGGGTGATACACTTTAACAATTTATCCATTTCCTTGGGATAACCACCTCTTGGCGTTTTGCCTGCTTCCCTCGGCATAGTGCTGGCTATCCCGCCCCTACCTTAGGTGACCCCGCCTACTCTGCGGGAGGCTTTCTCTAAGTGTGTCCCTTACGCCTAGCAGCTGAGTCTCGTAGACAAACGAACCTGAGGGTCTCCCTAGAAAGACCTTAAACTCAACTCCGTGGTAGCCTTAGGGACCAGCTTTGGGGTTTATCAGAATGAGTTCAAATCCTAGTTTCACTACTTATCGATTGAGCCAAACAAGGAACCTGACTATACACAGTAGACTCATCGGAGATAATATTGATAGAATGAAACAATATAGACTCCAGGCTTAGTTCTGGATCATAGCAAACGATAAATAGTAGTAGTTGAATAAACAGACACCCATTACCGCACTTCACTACAAGACAGCCCACCCACTATATCCAGAACATTGCATTCCTTAGTCTGGGCAGTTTTGGAGTTCATTCCAAAGACCAAACTCTAATTCTAGAAGCCTCAGAAAACAAACTGATCTACTGGTTTTTTGACATCGGACTTTGCCCAAGATCTTCACGAGTTGGGGGATACTTGATCTCTCCCATTGTTTTTCCCTTTGTCCTAATCCTGAGATTTTTGTCTTTCTCCTCAGGCATTTGGCTGATTTGATTATGATTTTCTTTAGACAGATTCATTCAAGACTAAGCCACGTTTTTATAGTACCATCATAATCAAGCAGGACTATGGCTTCCACTTTGTAACAGAGCCTTGCATTTGTGCAGTAAAGTTCTTAGTGTACACTGGGTATAGTGGCTTGCCCGAAGTCGTAGCTTCCGAAGATGCTAGGACTAAGGCAAGATGATTACTTGCGCTCAGAATTTGAAGTTAACCTGAGCAACATAATGAAAGAAAGAAAAGGGGGGGGGAGAGAGGAAGCAATGGAGGGAGAGGGGAAAAAACAAGGAAGAAAGAGGAGGAAGGAGAAGAAAATTTAAAAAAAAAGAAGAAGAAAGTTCTTGGCAGACATACTATTGACTCACTAAGTTTGCAGTCAACCTGAACTGCAGGGTGGTTTTAAAAACAAGGCCTCTGCTAACACCTTCTATCTCCCCTCCTGAGCCTCTCACCCTGGCTAGGCCAGCTGGGGATAAACCCTGGACCTTTTACCTATTAGGCTTTTCAAAATGAGAACATGGCATGTAAAGCAGTTTGCAGTTAGCTTAACACCACCTTTAAGCCAGTATATTTCTGTGAGGCCTGGTTTTGTAGGCCTGGAGCGGTTAAAGCTGACCTTGAATCCCTCTCAGGAGGCAGAAGCAAGTAGATCTCTGAATTCAAGGCCAGCCTGGTCTATAAAGCAAGTTCTAGGCCAGCCAGGCCTACAAAGTAAGACCCTGTCTCTAAGTAAATAAATGTCCAGTTCTATGACTAAAGACTGGTACTGGGCTGTCTACACATGTCACGTAATCACAACAGGAAAAAAGGAGAGTGCTCACAGAGATTACAGGAAGTATGTAACAGCAGGGTATATTGACAATCGTTTGCTTTCAGTGACAAGAGTTAGATGCTTTTTTATTCTTATTTTTCCTTTTTCTGTTTGTTTGAGTCTCTATAGAACAGTTAGCTTCAAACTCATGGGCATCCTCCTGCCTCAGCTACAATTATAAACATAAGCTACTATGTCTGGCTTTTCTTTATACTTCTTCACATATTTTCCTACATTGTGTTACTTTTATAACTGAGAAATCTAAGAGGTTGGGGCGCTGGCCAAGGAAGGAACGTGCTTCCCACTAAAGCGTCTGGATCTAGTTCTACTCCGTCAGCATCCACAGGAAGCCAGCATGGCTCTGTGTGTCAGGACAAAGAGGGGGAAACAGGAGGAGCCCCTGGGCTCCCACCAGCCAGTCTAACCAATCAGTTAGCCTGGTTCAGTGAGGGACTCTATCTCAAAATATTTGGTAGAAGGGGCTAAACAGATGCCTCAGCAGTTAAGAGCACTGACTGACCTTCCAGTTACTGACTTTACCTCCAGTTCTAGGGAATGTGACCCTCCCTTCTGGCCTCCACTGTCCTTGAGTGCCAAGATGCAAACTTCAAGTGTCATGCATACAGGCAAAACAAGCATACACATTCAAAAGAAAAAAAAATTTTTTTTTTTACTTGATGGTCTAGAGAGATCCCTCAGCAGTTAAGAGCACTCGCTGCTCTTCTAGTAGACTCAGCATCTACATGGCAGCTCACAGTTGTCTGTAACTTCAGTTCCAGAAAATCTGACATTCTTCTGGCCTCCCTGGACACCCAACACACACACCAACACACACTCGTACACACAATTTTTTAATTAGGTAGAATACAATAGAAGAAAACAGCTGGCATTCACATCTAACCCACACACACTCATACACACACACACAAAGAGAGATTTGCAACGCCCACGCACACAAGCACACACGTGCACAGAGAGGTGTGCACACTCACTCACACAGGTCTGCACACCTCCACATTTATATGCACACAGAGGTTTACACACCCACACACTTACACACAGATGAAGTTGGGTGTATAACCACTTAAATATTGTACTATATAATTTTTTTTGAGACAGGGTTTCTCTGTGTAACCCTGGCTATCCTAGATCTCTCTCTGTAGACCAGACTGGCCTTGAACTCATAGATTCACCTGCCTCTGCCTCCCAAGTTCTTAAAAGCATGTGCCACCCCCACCCAACTAAAGTATATTTTATATTAAAAAGCATATAAAATATAGTGTCTGGAAAGATGGCTCTGTGGTTAAGAGCACTGGATGTTCTTCCAGAGGACCCAGGTTTTAATCCCAGCATCCACATGCCTGGTCACAACCATCTCTAGTTCCAGGAGAGCCAATGTCTTCTTTCCCTAGGACACCAAGCACACATGCAGTGCACATATACAAATGCAAGCAAGATATCCACACACAAAATGATCTTGATCTATATGTACTAGCACAAATCATATCTATGTACAACATACACATATATGTCAGCACATATATGTACACACAGACATATATACACAGAGACACACATACATATTTTTTGAGAATATCACATAACCCTGACTGGCCTTAAATTCCTTTGTGGTTAACCTTGAACTCCTGCCAAGTTAAGCTGATTCTATCAGAGGACTAGTGAAGCCAAGGAATCACAAGGGGCTTATTTAGTATCTCTAATCTGACACTAGTTGAAGAATTTAGGCACTGTTTGGTCTAAAAAGCCACTCCACTGTGGCCTTAGATGGCCTAGCACCAAACTTCCTGCTGAAATACTCACATGACTGTCCTATCTCTCCCTCTGTCTTAGCTGGGGTTTCCATTGCTGTAAGGAGACACCATGGCCATGGCAACTCTTATAAAGGACATTTAATCGGAGCTGTCTTACAGTTCCGAGGTTTAGTCCATAACCACCACGACAGGAAGTATGGTGGCATGCAGACAGACATGGCTGCTGGAGAAAGAGCCAAGAATTCTACATCTAGATCCACAGGAAGCAAGCAGGCAGAAAAAGTGACACTGGGCCTGGCTTGAGCATCTGAAACTCCAAAGCCTACTCCCTGTGACACACTTCCTCCAACAAGGCCACACCTCCCAATCTTTCCCAAGTAATGTCACTTCCTAGGGGTCTACAGGACCACTTTCACTCAAACCATCTCTGCATCTAATCAATACTTTTTAAATACAAAGTTCTATAAGCCTTGATTCTTCCAAACTGTGAGCAGATTCACAGCTCAGTTGACAATTTTTCTGCTTCTTGGCAGAAACCTTCTTCACAAATGTGTGTTCTGTACTGACCTTGTACCTAACATTGACCAACACAGATGTGAGCATCTGCCCTCATGGAATTTGCTGACAATCTGGAAGATGAACTTTAAATAAGTAAATAGGGCTGAAGATACAGCTCAGTTGGTAGAGTGCTTGGCCAGCATGCACAAATCCTGGCACCATATACGACTGGGCAGGGGCAGCTTGCTGCCAAGCCTAACAACCCGAGTTCAATTCCTGGGATCAAATGGTAGGAGGGGAGAACCAACTCCACAGACATCCATGTGGATGTAAATAACTGTTAAATGTTAAGGGGTATGCCTAGTGGCACACACCTGTGATCCCAGCACTCAGGAGGGAGACCAGGAGTTCAAACAACTACAAAATATAGTATGTGCAAGGCCCGAGATTCAGTCATCTATACTACAATACAACAGAAGTAGAGGGTGGGGGGTCCCAGAAAGAGCCAAAGCTCTGCCCCGTTGATGGTGGCACTGGGCCTACAGTACAATGGAGAAGAACGCAAAGGATAAAACAGGATCTGTAGGAGTCAGATCCACAGTTTGTTACCCACCAGCCAATCACCTCAGAGTTATGAAAGGTAATTTATTGGAATCAGGTAAAAACCTGTTGGAGATTTACACCATGAGAGACAACCTACAACTGTTAGCAAAATTATTTTTTTTAAAGATTTATTTATTTTATGTATGTGAGTACATTGTCCCTATCTTCAGACACCCCAGAAGAGGGCATCAGATTTCATTGCAGATGGTTGTGAGCCACCATGTAGTTGCTGGGAATTGAACTCAGGACCTCTGGAAGAGCAGTCAGTGCTCTTAACTGCTGAGCTATCTCTCCAGCCCCTACATAAACCCTTTCTAGCCTTCTTCCCTAAATAGCCTTTTATATAAGTGTCCTGAGTTAGTTTTAACTATCAACAGGGCATAGCCTACTATCATATAAAGTCTCAGCTGGGGATGATAGTGCAAGCCTTTAATCCCAAC